AATGTTCAGAACAACTTTATAATACTTGTATTAACTAAAAACATTTGAAAACAACCCAAATATCAATCAACATTCAAACAGATCAGTAATTCACAATGGTGAATATATCACAATATATCTACACAGGGTGAAGAACCTCTGCTACATGCTACATGATGACTCCTGCAGACTTAATATTGGGAAAAAGAAGCCAGACTCAACAGTTTTATTTATATGAAGTTCAAGTATAGACAAAACCACTATGGGGACAGAAGCAAAATAATGGTTACATTCGGGTTTTCTTCTTCTGGGTTTTTAGTGGGAAGAAGCATGAGAAAACCCTCTAGGGAAATGTTCCATGTCCCGATCTGAGTGGTGGTTACACAGGTTTCTATTTCTGTATATAGACAGAAGGATATACAAAACTGTACTTAAGATCTGTGCCTTTCACAGTAGGTTATACCTGCTTTAAAAAAAAAGTAAATAAAAAGAAATTTAAAAGTTCCCTAATTAAGAGGCACCGCTTTGCAGGAAAGGGAGCATTATGTATATTCTTACATCGTAGTTTACCTACTTTTCTAAAGGGAAGAAAATCAAACAGAGAATCACACTGTTGTTGCTTTTTTAAAGCCACTATTATCTGGGCATTTTGAGAAAAGCAACTCAACTGACAAGAGGCAACTTTCTAATCTTGAATCCTGAAATGAAATCAGGGGCCTCTGCTCCAGGTCAGTCAGCTGCATCCAACCCTTAGGCTGTGCTTCCCGGCACTTGTTTAGCAGATTTAACAGCTTCCAAGTCGATGTAGAAACAAAAATAAATCTGCACATTTCCAACAAAAACAAAAGAAATTAGTTTCTACCCTCAACTCTACTAAATAAAAGCATTCATAGGAACCACACACAGGTCAATGAGCTAGAATTTAAAAACAGAGTCAGCCTGCCAGCATTCTGAGTATTCAATAATAGCAGTAGTCACCTGGGGCAGCGGAAATAACATGGTAACGATATTTTGAGAGGTTCCTGGAATCAAAACATGGGTCAGATTTTCCCCCTTTCCTTTTGTTTTCAGGAGAAAGTTAGTTATTCTCATAGGGATTGGAGATAGTTATTTTCTCAGACTGTAATACCCAAGCATAGTCTATTTCTTCCCACGTCTAGCCTGTAAGTAGTCTAATGAAATATCATTTTGTGTGATTAGTTTCAAGCCAAGAGTGGGAGCATACTCAGCTCTCTGAAACGGGAAGAGCAGAGGGCTCAGGGGACAGATCTAGGTAAAAACAAAAACACCTATTTAGTGATTGGCGGGGAAGCAAGAGACTATATAAAGCAGGTAGTAAAGTCAATGGAAGAACAAAGACATTTTAATATTTACCTTGTCGTGTTAAACTGTATGAATGTGATCACAAAGGATAATAGCAGTTCTAGGAGGTTTAGAATGCGATAGAAATCTTTAAATGGATTTTTTACAAAAAGGCATTTAGCAAAGTCAGCTACTACAAATGTATAAGGAAATAGAGTGATTAAAGTCTTTTTACAGTTTTGTTACTATGCATCAAAAACCAAAATTATAGAGTGAAACAAAATATTTTTGTGGTTCCTTGATACTACACAATGAAGGATTGCTCAACCTTTACTGATTTATTTGAAGAAACTCAAATCTTCAACATGGCATAGTAAGACATTTCTAACTGTGGCCATTTGGGAGATGGCTGGAATGAACTTGTAAAAAATCTAAATTCAGGAATTTAAAAAATAAACGTACTTGCATTTAGATATAGCTCATGAACTAAATATAGAAAGCATTGGTAAATTTAAGTCCTTAGGGGCTTGTTTTAATGAATAGAGAAAAGCGGTCTGCAATTAGCTTAGCTGTACTTGGTAATCAACTCAGGTTATATATATCAAATTTTATTAATCATACGATCAATTTTCTTACAACCTCTCTTTTTATGGATATTGTGAAGATTAAAAGCTCACAAATTGAGTTTCACTCAAGGCAACTATACTTCTAATCTATTTTACAAGGATTTGGGAGTTTTGCTGCTGAAAAGATCACACTGTAGCTTTCAAGTGTCGGAACTTCCTCCTCTTCCTATACTAGCAAGTTTATAAAGTGAAAACAGATATTGTGATGAAGTCTGACTACTAATATCAAAGAAAATGATCCGCTAAGTACAAAAATAAAGTTCTCAGGACATTATTGGTTATGGTCACAGAGCCATTTAAAACTACCTAGGCTTTACCCGGCCCTCTCAAGACTAAATCAGCTGCTATCTATGCTTATTTATGTTTTCTCTAGCAGAGCACTTATCAACCAGTATATAATTCCTCGAACATGTGCCCGTCTCCTACTAGACTAACTAGGAGCTCTAAGGAGAGCAAGAACTGTATTTATACACTCCCATAGTATCATACTTTAATAAATATATAGTATATAAATTAAACATATATTGAAGTATAATTATATATATGTATTATATATATCAATGATCTACATCAATGAGATTGTGTATACACACACACACACACACACACACACACAGTCAAACCTTGGATTGCGAGTAACGTAGTTTGTGAGTGTTCCGCAAGACGAGCAAACATTTCTAATACATTTTAATGTGGTAAACGAGCAATGTCTTGCAATACCAGTAGTTTGTTTCTGGAACCAAATTATGCTCACAAACCAAGGTATTGCTGTATATATATCTTGCGTTCATCAACAACTGTAATGAATTATTTTGGGTATGAATCCTCTTCCATTAGATGCTCCATTCCATTTATGTAACGTTTGCCACTTATCTCCCGAACTAGTCACCTAATATATACTGGTTGAGTAAAAGCCCAAAGCCTAGTACAGGGCTGGCAAACTCACATAATCTGGTCAATTACTGAATTAACTTTTTAAAGCAGACAAAACTTTTCTTCTTCCCAGAGCTGATTAGGTATTCATCAAGCTCCCAGATGATAACAACCATTCTAAGGTGGACAAAGGGACCAGACTCCATGCCTTAAAACTTGCAAAGTTAATCCGGGACACTTGAGCATTAGAAGTTCTTGTTTTGGGGGTTCTCAAGTTCACTCACTCTTGAAGGGGATTCCAAAAATTAGACACTCACATTTTTCTAACTAAAGAATGTACCTCCTCTAAGAGGGCATCTCATTTCTTTTGTTAAATATATTTAGGAGAATTAAAAATAAAACAAAACAAAACAAATAACAGAGAGGCGGAAGAACACCTACTTAGTCTTTCAGACCAGTTGAATCTATACAGGCAACCAGTGGGGACAGAAGTCTGCCTTTATGTCCCCAAAGCAAATTCTAAATTGAAAAGGTAGCAGGCAAAAGAACACCATCAACAAAAAAGATTATACAAAGACTTAAACTATTTTAACTGAAAATCCATCACATAAGAAACTAATGTGGTGTCTAAATCCAATAATTATCATTACTGAGTGGTTATTAAGTAACCATTAAATAGAAAGCTATCTCATTTGTGACTTTAACTTTCAAATCCTCCACTGCAGTCAAATATAGACTGTATGAGCAAACAAGAAAGGAAAGGAGTTTAACTGGAGTTAGAAATAATACCCCTCACCTACTTAAAACGTGAACATATTTAGTAACTTCCCCCAAACAACTGAAGCCTTCATTCACCACATGAAACAGTTTCTTGAGGCTTTTAATCACAGGCGCTCTGTTACACAGCTCTAGTTCATTAGCCGCCTCCTGTCTAAACTGTTCCCCCTCTCAGCGCTGCTGGCATGCCGGATTCCTCACCAGGGGGTTTTCCCCACCCCAATGGGCCAATCCTGGCTCTGGAAGGCCCTTCTCCTGGGCTGTTGGCTGGCCAGAGAGGAAGCAGCATGCTGACCTGAGCTAATTAGAGATGATGACTGTTTCACTTCAATCCAAAATGTGATGTTGATGGTTAATACAATTTTTTCACCGCTCGCTGGATCTCCAGCACTACTAAATATAGATATTTGGAAATGCACACTTGCAAATGTGACTGTAACCATGAAGACAATAAGGTCAAAGAACTTATTCCTGATTCTTGGCTCTACAAACCTAAATGTGTGCTGGAGTCCCCGACATAGGTTCTCAGTGTTTGCTTAAAGAGGGAGAGTAGAGAAGTGGACAGGGAGTACCTGGTCAGCACAGCTATGGAGAAACACCCGGTGAAGAATTCCACTTGTAAAATTCTCCCTGAGGGCCATAATCACTCAGCTCTTCCCAGGACAGAAACCCCAAACCTCAGATCCTCAAGAAACTCTTCCCTTGCTTTTATCACTCATAGTCCTCTACTTCAGTCAAGCAGAATTCTATTCCACCTCATCTTAGCACCTAAGCCTGAAGAGCCTTGCATCCCTCCTTTCATTTACGTAGAAATACTTCCTTCCAAAGGCAACAATTTACAATCTGTCTTTCTTTGAGAAGCTTTCTTCACAACATTTCATTCAAACCGTGAACCCCCCTCTTCCTCCATGCTCTTTTCAGGACCTCCATGCTGAGTAAATGCATTTGCGTGTTATTTTTTCATACTTTGTGACTGACTCCCATTACTTTCTCATAGGTATTGATAATCACCTCATGACTTCACAATCCAACAGTTTTAAAAATGACACCTAAAGCATTAAGTTGAGCCACATGAAAATGCTGTTTTTAATAGGTCAAAAATAGTAAAATATCAGCAGTGTTCTAAGGTTCAACTTAATATTTACATAGGAACTCAAGAAATGCTCTTAAATAGTATGTCTTCTTGTCACCTTCGTGTTTAGGACATTTATTTAGACACTGCCCCACAATGGTTTTCTCTTTCTAAAGCCTAAAAAAGCATCTCCCCAAACTGATTAAAAGGTATAGTTGCTTTTTCCAAATGTTGTTACATGTATAAAAAACCCAAAATATTATATTGTGTAACTGAACTAACAAAGCTAGTTAACTAATATAACTAATATAATAGTTCTCAAAATGTAGTTAATAGAAGAGAAACGTTGAACAACAAAATCTTGCACTTACCTTCTTCTGTAGGATTAAACCCACAGATGTCACAAATACAACGAACCCACTTATTCATCTCTTCCTCACTGTCTGCTACCAAGTAGAAAATTCGGTCAATGGTGTTGATATCAAAAATGTAGCTGTTTTCAAACTCCTTTTTGTTAAATGTCAATCCAGCATCAACTTGCTGACATAAATTTAAATCAATAATACGGATAGGCTTCTTGGCATGATCATTTTTGTAATATTCCAAGACATCTGGATCGCCAGTTAAACGGCCACTGCGTAGCACAAACCATCTCCTCTTCCATGCCTAGGAACAAACAAAAATATGCATCTAGTACTCATCTGAGAAATTTTTCAAGATGCACATTTATCAAATCAATTTTACAAATGCATTATCTAGAGTCGCATACAATGTTTTGTTTCCAAAGAATTATCTACCACTCCAGCAAAGTTTACTAATGCCCCAATTCACTTAATAATGTATGTATATATACATATTATTTTCTTTATGTTGATTGATATTAGAAGATATTGCACTGATATGAAATATCAAGTTGACAAAACAAGGGAGATTTAGTTTTCACCAACTATAAAAAAGCAGTGGTTTCAACAAATGGTGCTAGGAAAGTTAGATATCTACTACATACAATATAATGAAGCTGAATTCTTACCTTACACATCGCATAAAAATTAACTCAAAGTAGATCAAAGACCTAAATATAGGAGCTAACATTATAAAACTCTTAGAAGAAAACATAAGGAAAAGCTTTATGACATTAGATTTGGCAATGAATTCTTGAATATGACACCAAGAGCACAGGAAACAAAACTACTGGGCTGTCGGAAAAGTCATGACGCATTTTTTGCAACGAAGAATACAGAAAAAAAATACGTCATGACTTTTCCGACAACCCAGTAAAAATAGGTAAGCTGAACTACGTCAAAATTTATAACTTTCATACATCGAAGGAAATGATCAACAGAGTAAAAAATAACAACTCACAGAACGGGAGAACATGTTTGCAAATTATACAGAGGGTGCCAAAAAAATGCATACATATTTTAAGCTAGTAAAAACTATTAAAGTTGTAATACTCAATATATACCAATAACAAAAGATAAACACAAGTCATGTGTATACATTTTTTGGCACCCCCAGTATATCTGATAAGAATTAGTGTCCAGAATACATAAAGAACTCCTACAACTCAACAACAAAAATAAACCACCCAATTAAAAAATGGGCAAAGGACTTGACTAGACTCTTCAAAGAAGATATACAATTGGCCAATAAGCACACGAAAAGATGTTCAATATTACTATCATTAGAGAAATGCAAACCAAAACCACAATGATGAGACAGCACTTCATACCCATTACAATGGCTATTATCAAAATAGCAGAAAATAACAAGTGTTGGCCAGGATACGGAGAAACTGGAACCTTTCTACATCGCTGGTAGAAATAAATATAAAATGGTGTAACTGTTGTGGAAAACGGTATGGCAGTTCTTCAAAAAATTACAGTTGTGGGTATATATCCCGAAGAATTGAAATCAAAGTCTCAAAATAGTATTTGTACACCCATATTCATTGCAGCATTATTCACAACAGTCAAAAGGTGGAAGCAATCTAAGTGTCCATTGATGAATGAAGAGATAAACAAAATGTGGTATATACATACAATGGAATATTATTCAGCCTTAAAAGGGAAGAGAATTCTAACACACGCTACAACGTGGATGAACCTTGAGATATGATGCTAAGTGAAATAAGCCAGTCACAAAAGGACAAAAACTGTATGATTCCACTTATATGAGGGACCTTTAGTAATCAAATTCATACAGATAGAAAGCCAGGGTCGGGGGAGTGGGGACTAGGGAGTCCGTGTTTAATGGATACAATTTCAGTTGGGGAAGATGAAAAAGGTCTGGAGATGGATGGTGGTGATGGTTGCACAAAAACGTGATCTACTTAATGCCACTGAACTATACACGTAAAAATGGTTCAACTGGTAATTTTTTTTTAAAACTGGTAAATTTTATGTTATGTATATCTTATCACAATTTTTTTTAAAAACAATTTTTTATGTTTTTATATTATGCCATAAAGAATACACATAAAAGTGCTTCTTCAAAAGACTCCTTCATATTTTAAACTATCGCGCTCTCTCTCTCTCTCGCTCTCTCGCTCTCTCACTCTCGCTCTCTCTTTTAGGTGTGGGGGCAAAGAGTAGGGAGGGTAAAAATGGGCATAGGAGCTTTCCTGGTTTCTCACCTGAGAAATAAGCAAAGAAATGGACTGGCTGTTATCTTCCTTTTGGCTAGAATGCTGTTCAGGCTACATGAGAAGAGCTATATAATTGAGCATGGGATACCACGTTTTTTCAGCCTTTCTCCTCTTCCCAACAAATATATATTAGCAATCTGGACCTATACTCACCATGTACTCCCTCCACAAAGTTTGGGAAATTTTGAGCTTAATATTGGGCTGTCAGAAAAGTCATGAAGCATTTTTGCAACGAAAAACATGGAAAAAATACATCATGACTCTTCCGACAACCTAATACTATACCTAAAGAAGCCTAAAATTATTTTACCATTACCCTCCCTAAAATCTACATTGATCAACTAATAAAAGCAGAACCAAATGTCTGAAACAGTCAGCCTCAGCAGTCTTTAAATCTACCACCTCCACCCAGAAACAAAATTAGGCCTTACTTCTCTTGGAAGGTTTTCCCCAGCTGGCAACCAGCTAGAACACAAAGAGACTTTTTCTAGGAAATCTCAATCACCTATTAAGAGACATCCTCTGCTCCAGACTAACACGCGAATAAGACTGCCCAAAGAGGACACTCCAGGAAGCAGAAGGACTGAGAAACAGAACAAGTTATGAACCCCAATGAAATGAAACATTCTTAATGGCCACTGTACATTTCTGTTCATTTGGAGATCATGATGGAGCACCAGTCACAACACCTCCATCCTTTATCTCTGGAAAAGTATAACCAGACAAGGTATGTCTCTTCCAGTCATAACATGGGGTAACAACAGACATATTATGCTTATGGCATTTTCAGAAATTTTATTCATGGTAGTAAATAAGTTTAGTACTTGCTCTACATACAGTCTAGTTAGACAAAGAATGCTCACAATGTTGGTGCCATAGCGTAGGCAAATTTCTGCAATGTTACTTCTGTTTCTTCATTAACATCTATATCAATCTACTTCTAAAAATCTGCTAATTATAATCACCAAAAGCAATACTAGCATGAGAGGGTCTCTGTATGTTTTATGCTTTACAAAATTTGGCATATATAACACAAAAGGCATCAACAACAACAACAAAAAAAAACCCAAAATAAAACAAACAAACAAAAAAACCCTGCTTCATTTTATCCTGAAAAACCCATGTGGACAGAGAGAAAAGATATTAACTAAAATTCACATATATTGGGTTGTTGGAAAAGTCATGATGCATTTTTGCAATGAAAAACAGAAAAAATATGTCATGACTTTTCCGACAACCCAATACTTCTCAATAGATGTTTGGTCTGAGTCTCCACCTTCACTAAGTTTTATAATAAATTCTGACATGAATCAATTTGACTTGTAGTTCATGGAAGGAGGTGCTAGGAAGCCATGACAATGGTCTTAGGCAGAGACAGAGAAAATGAAAACCAAGGGGCCTGAGTGGTCCATGAACCAGCTCGTTTGGTCTTTAATAGCTTGGACAACTGTATCAAAAACTGAATTAATTTGTGTGATAGCTTTAGGTTTAACATTATAATAGATTCTTTAAATTGTACCCATGTAAGAAAAGTTGGGTACATGAAGATTTTCCCAGTCAATAAGTTATTGATTATATTGTAAATACCATGCTAGGTATATGTGGGAAGACATACACGTAGGTAACTCATGATTCCAACTCTCAAGGAGTTTACTAATTATGAAGAAAATACCTACCATACACGAAAACATTTGAGACTATAGCAACCTTGGCAAAGTACCTGCAGAACTATTGCTAAATGGATGGGCGTTCCTCCCTGGAAACTTATGCAACCCTTTAACAAGATTAGCAGAAAAATCACAAAGACCTAAAAATATTATGTAGTTTTTTAACAACATCAATATTTTAATTTAATTTCCAGTTTGACTGCAGCTCAAAGGAAAAAGTAAATGATTGGTGTTCAGAAGGAGACGGCAGTGTGGAGTTCTACAGATGCTTTAGATAATATTGAAGTCAAAATGTTCACATGAATTTAGCACTGGTTTCTGGATTATAAAAATCCATTCGGTTAACACGTAAGACATCTATTTACTTGAAAATAAACGAGTATAATCTTTTAGTAAAATTATGCCTTTATGAATACTTCCCTACCAAGCAGTAAACTTGAAAAATAGAGAAGTAAACAGAAAAGATAATATAGTATTATGTCATGTATCCAGGGCCATCAAGGAATCATATTGTTTAGGAAGTGATTTCTCTAGATAGGGAAGGTTGTTTTTAAAAACAGAAATGACTTTTTAAAACTTTAAAGTCTCACATGGAACTCTTTCTAAAATGCCTTACTACATAATTTATTGAACATAATTCATTCATTCCCCAGTGACTCCGACTAGGTATTATAGGCATCAGTTTCTATGCTGCACTTCAGTGAAGCTCTCAGTGTTGGGCTGTATGGGTCATTTGCCCCTGTACTAAAGAGTGCCACACTGCTGTGCTTGCATAGTTCATCTATAATCGTTTCATCAATGGTCACGTCTACCTTTTAATAATATGGTCTATAGGATGCCAAACCCTTTCCTGCCTCAAAGACTTCGCACGTGCTATTTCCTAAGTCCTGTATGCTCCTTCCCCCAGACTTGACCAGGCTGACTCTGACCTTCAATCCCTCCCTTCCCTAACCACCCTCAACCCAACCACCCCCAATGTGAAGCAGGGCATAGTTTTAGGGATTCTATCACTTACCTGTGTAGTGATTCTTGTAAGTTTGCAATTCAATGTTTCTTTGTATTGATTTATTTAATATCTACCTTCCTAAGCAGATCAAGTCCAAGGAAACAGTGACCCCGTCTGCTTTATTTGCCATGACATACTCAGGGCATAGCACAGTGCCTGGTAACTAGAAATACCTGTACCATAAACAGAATTCCGCTATGACTATAAAGTTGTAACATTTTTGAGAATATTAGATTAGCTACATGGGCCACACTGAACAGGAAGGCGTGCTTTCAAAGCCTCTTCCACTTGAGAAAAGGAGCTCCAATACTGAACATATACATAATAAAATAAGCACAACTAAGAC